TGTTTCAATAATGAACGTTATTTCAATAGTGGTTGCAACCTGTGTTTGCTTTTGAAATGCTCTTTCAACCACTATTGAAATATTTCAATAGTGAACGTTAATTATTTCAATAGTGGTTACAACATGTGCTTGGTTTTGAAATGCACTCTCAACCACTATTGAAATAATTATTTCAATAGTGGTTGCAACAATGGTTTCTGAAAATTAGATACATTCTGTATTCTGTTCAATTCTTTCAAAATGATACTCATACTTCAGTTTTGATCTTATCTTTTTTTTTTCCTAAAAATGTTAAATACAAATTAAAATAAACAGCATCAAGGCACATAATTATATAAAATTTCTGTTTAAAATTGTCTTGATTTAAATCACGATTTGGTAGTAACTAAATGCTCATCTTAAGCATTGATCCGATTTGATTTCTGGTTCCTGTTTAGATTACCGTTTCATAGGAAATTATGAAGATATATTAGGCTAAAACGTATTAATTACAATTGCAATCTGTATTACATTTATTTGGAGGAATAATGTTGTCAAGGGCACGAAATAGTACTAAATGGCCAGTAGGATTTCAAAATTGCTACTCTTAACTTTTTGACTGACTTGAAACTAACAGGTGCAATTTAGACTACATCAACCCACGCAACAGTGTTTAAATTGCTTTTAGCTTTGATGAGCAGTGACATGAATTTTAAAAATATTATTAGTCCCCTACCGGTGAAACCGGAGGGGACTATAGGTTTCCTCTGAGTCTGTCCGTCCGTCTGTCCGTCCGTCTGTCTGTCCGTCTGTCTGTCTGTCAGTCTGTCCCACTTGGTTTTCCGCACTTTTTTCCTAAACGCTTGCAGATATTGAGCTGATTTTTGGTATGTGAGTGTATCTTGATGAGTTACAGATCAAGTTTGCATTTCGTTCCGCTTCATTAATTTTTGACGGAATTACGGCCTTTTCAATTTTTACGGGTTTTCCGCAATTTTCTTCTGAACGATTGAAAATATTTAACTGATTTTTAGTATGTGGCTTTACCTTGATTAGTTATAGATCAAGTTTGCATTTCGTCCCGCTTCATTAATTTTTGACGGAATTATGGCATTTTCAATTCTTAACGGGAACCAGATTACACTTGCCGGTAGGGGACTAGTATTGCTAATGCAATACTCTCAGAATGCTTGTTAAATTTTATATTTTAAAATTCTTATCCTCCTACATGATTGAAACATCGTACAATTGTTTAACACATTTTCCTTTCGATTTTTTTTATTTTGATGAAGTACCTAGCAATTGCAATTAATTAGATTCTTTCTAAGAGAGTGAACCCCTAGATTTTGACTGATTTAATTCTTTAAAAAAAAAAAAAAAAAAAAAAAAAAAAGAAGAAGAAGAAGAAGATACAAATGTAACTTTCACCATTCTATTCACTGATCGTGGATTTTGTTGATGGCAATGCCACAAGGTTTAAGATTTAAAATGGTACAAACATAAAGGACATTAAATTTGTGATTCTATAATACAACATATTTTTTTCTTGAGAGATGCTGTCATGATTATTCAAAATAAATGTATATAATATTTAAAACGTTTAAATTCATTGATATAAGTGTACTTTTTCGTTTGTTCCTTTCCTTGTTCTCTATAACATTATACAACAAGATGTGTTTGTGAAACACTGATGCCCCCGTATGGCAGCTTATGGCGAAGGTTAAAGTTTCTCAAATGCAAGTCAAAATCCAGGCCAAAAGATAAAAGATGTTAAATTTGAAAGCCCTAGCTGCAACTGTTCAAAAGTTATGGCGAAGGTTAAAGTTTTTTAAAAGTAAGTAAAACATCAAGGTCAAAGTTGTTGGTATCCAAAGGAATGCCTTGTCACAAGGATTACATATGTAAAGTATGAAAGCCCTAGCACCAACCATTTAAGAGTTATGGCCAAGGTTAAAGTTTTTCGAAAGTAGGTCAAACTCCTATGTCAAGGTCAAAGGGTCAAAGTGGTTGGTATCCAAAGGAAGGTCGTGTCACAAGGATTACATATGTGAAGTATGAAAGCCCTAGCTCTAACCGTTCAAAAGTTATGGCCAAGGTTAAAGTTTTTCAAAAGTAGGTCAAACTCCTAGGTCAAGGTTAAAGGGTCAAAGAGGTTGATATCCAGAGGAAGGTCTTGTCACAAGTAAAACACATGTGAAAATTGAAACCCCAAGCACCAACTGTTCAGAAGTTATGGCCAAGGTTAAAGTCTCATAAAATTTTGCAAAAGTGGGTCAAACTCCAAGGTCAAAAGGTCAAATATGATGGTACCCGAAGAAAGGTATTGTCACAAGGAATACACATGTGAAATATGAAAGTCATAGCTCCAATCAATCAAAAGTTATGGGCAAGGTTAAAGTTGACAACAGACAGACAGGCAAACATATAAACAGACAAACAGATAAACAGACAAACAGACAGACAGGACAAAAACAATATACCCCCCGGGATCTTTCGATCCGGGGGCATAATAATTATTGCTGTTTTTGAGGTCAACACGATGAATTAGACACCTGAGGAGTACAATATTCATCGAGCTCGAAAGGCTGTTTTATTACAAGATTCAAGGATCAAAGATACAAACTCATTAAGCAATACATGACATCTTATTTGTTAACATTGGCTGATGTCCTAGCCAAACGCAATGAGAGAAACGTTTTTAAGGCCAATTAACGTGACGAATCTCCCTTTCAATGAACATTTGTATACAAAATTAAAGTAGAAATTTACGTTCAGAAAAAAAGTATTGGGGGACAGGCCCCCTGCACCCATCCCACTCCATGTGCCTGAATGTAATGTTCCTATGAGTGGAAGTCTGGTGCAAGTGAAATAACTTTCCAAAACTTTTTGTATCAATTTGAAATTTCCCAATCTATTTTTAGTCCAATGTTCAAACAAGAGGCCCATGGGCCACATCGCTTACCTGAACACGATGGCTATGAAAAAGCACAAATCAATTCAGTATTGAAAAGTTTACAGGGAGGGGGGGGGGGGGGCTTGAATTTTAAACTACCTGAGGATGCTTCCATATCAATATAACAAATGGCTTTGCTGTTCTTGAGTAGAAGATTTTTAAAGATTTTTTTCCTATATATTCCTTTGTAAAAATTTGATACCCCATTGTGGCCCCACCCTACCCCCAGGGGTAATCATTGGAGCAAAATTTAATCTACACTACCCGATGATGCTTCCATATCAATATGACTAAACATGGCTTTGCTGTTCTTGAGACAAAGATTTTTTTCCTTTATTTTCCTATGTAAAATTTAGATCCCCCATTATGACCCCACCCTATCCCCGGGGGTCATGATTTGTACAAACTTGAATCTACAATACCTGAGAATGCTTCCATTTCAATATGACTAAACATGGCTTTGCTGTTCTTGAGAAGAAGATTTTTAAAGTTTTTTCCTATATGTTCCTGTGTAAAACTTTGAACCCCCATTGTGGCCCCAACCTAACCCCAGGGGTCATGATTTGAACAAACCTTTAATCTACACTATCTGAGGATGCTTACATATCAATATGACTAAACAATGTTTTGCTGTTCTTGAGAAGAAGATTTTTAAAGATTTTTCCCTATATATTCCGATGTAAAACTTTGATCCCCAATTGTGGCCCCACCCTACCCCCAGGGGTCATGATTTGAACAAACTTGAATCTACATTATATAACAAAGGTTTCCTATAAGTTTCAACTTTTTGGGACATTGGTTCTGAAGAAGAAGATTTTTAAAATATGCCACCAAATTTTCACTATTTCTCAATTGTCCCCCCTTGAATGAGGGCGTCGCCCTTCATTTGAACAAACTTGAATACCCTTCACCCAAGGATGCTTTGTGGCAAGTTTGGCCCAGTGGTTCTGGAGAAGAAATTGGAAATGTGAAAAGTTTTCAGATTGAAGGACAGCTAGAAAAACAAACAGACGGACTACAGACAAAATGTGATCAGAAAAGCTCACTTGAGCTTTCAGCTCAGGTGAGCTAAAAATAAATCCTTATGTTCACCTCCAAGGCCACCTGCAGGTGAACATAACATATTTTTTTCTAGAATGTTAGATCTCAGCCAGTGAGAGAGATAGGAATTATTCAATCAAATAAAATTTTACGTCCCATGTCTTGAATCTTACGACTACATCCCAGCTGTGCATTCGTTTTCAAAGAAAAGCATATATCCCCCCCCTACATTTGAAAACCTTTTATTTCGAAGAGTTAAATAAAAACAAATGATACGTAATTCCATATGCAGGATAAAAGATATAATGAAAAATCGAAATGTCGCAAGTCTAGATTTTCTTATAGGAAATGTTATGACTCTAGGTCGGGTGCTGTTGCTTTTTAGTCCCCTACCGGTGAAACTGGAGGGGACTATAGGTTTCCTCTGAGTCTGTCCGTCCGTCTGTCGGTCTGTCCCTCTGTCAGTCTGTCCCACTTGGTTATCCGCACTTTTTTCCTAAACGCTTGCAGATATTGAGCTGATTTTCAGTATGTGAGTGTATCTTGATGAGTTACAGACCAAGTTTGCATATCGTTCCGCGTCATTAATTTTTGACGGAATTATGACCTTTTCAATTTTTAAGGGTTTTCCGCGATTTTTTTCTAAACGCTTGGAGATATTGAGCTGATTTTTGGTATGTGACCTTACCTTGATTACTTATAGATCAAGTTTGCATTTCGTTCCGCTTCAATGATTTTTGACGGAATTATGGCATTTTCAATTTTTAGCGGGAACCAAATTACACTTGCCGGTAAGGGACTAGTATTGCTGATGCAATACTCTCAGAATGCTTGTTCAGTATTGGTAATTAAGTCATCTAAAATTTACAGCTGTGAAATACATCAATACATATATTGTTCAAATGATAAAACTTTATTTCTCAATTTGATTTTTTTTTTATTGGATGATGATTTAAGTCAGAATTAAATGAGCATGTAATGGATCTTGTATGTTAGAGTATTCTCCAAAAATGACACATCCGCAGAATTATAGAAAAAAAGCAAGTAGGATTTATTTAACCATAAAATAAATACAAAACTGGATAATTGTATGCATCAAAATACAAAATATTCAAACAACCAGTAAACTTCATCAGATCTACCGTCCGATGTGAATATTTGGATAATAATAGTCTCTATTTTCAAATAAAGGAAGGGTGTTTCTCATTACTCCTCGTCTAATGCCAAATCGTCCATACGGCTGTCTTATTGGAAGTATACCTCTCCTATTTAATCTGCCATATCGTCTCCTGCCCATTCGTCCTCTTCTATTGAATGTTCTTCGATTGCTGTTTTCAATCTCACGCAGTATGTAGGCTCTTACTTGACTATTTAAATGCCGATTTCTTCCTACAAAGACGGGGAAATGATGGGTAGCCCAAGTTTTAGCAAACCTGGTTGGTCTGTAGCCTCTTGTAGCTCTGTATATTAGGTTTAATTCAGCTAGTTCTCTATCTGTTAGTTTCAGCTTATCACCAGCATATTTTGACTGTTTGTATTTAGGTCTGTAAGTTGAATAACCTGAATACTTTCTTTGATTTCTATAGATTTTACGGTCATCAGAATATTTGGAATATCCCTTGTACTGTTTTGGTTTATAATAATCTCTTTCATCTGAATATTCTGAAGAGTCTGTTTTCATTTCTTGAATGCCGTAATTTTTCTTTTCTATTTCGATTATTGCATTTAGCAGGTCTTGGTCATCGTTAATTGGTTGATCGAGGTTTAAGTTACCAAAATTATGGTCATCTAAAAACTCCCAGTTTTCATAGGTCTCTCGTGGTGGTTCGGGTTCAGGTTCTTTGCCAAATATTTTTTGGTCCTTGGGCTTAGCGGGGATGTATAATTTTTCCACTCTAGGGTTGTTTAGTGGAAGATCATTATTTATGACCGGGGGCTGACGTTGTGGATTGATTTGCTGTGGTAGTTCTTTACTTTCACTACTCTCCTCGGATGACTTGTTTTCGCTGCTATTCGAGTCTTCGCTACTTTCCTCGGATGACTTGCTTTTGCTGTTTTCGTTGCTTTTCGAGTCTTCGCTACTTTCCTTGGATGACTTGCTTTCGCTGTTTTCGTTGCTATTCGAGTCTTCGCTACTTTCCTTGGATGACTTGTTTCCTTGTTCGCTGTTTTCATTGCTATTCGAGTCTTCGCTGCTTTCACTACTTTTGGAATCTTGTTCATAACTGTTTGATTTACTTCCACTTGATCCACTGTCTTTACTTGAATCATGTTCACTGCTTCTTGAATTGCTTTTACTGTAACTTTTATCAGCACTACCAGAGTTTTCACCACTGGAGTCCTGTTTACTGCTCTTCGAATCGCTGTCACTTGATCCACTATTGGATTCACCAGACTTTTCATCACTGGATCCTTGTTCACTAGAGCTGCTCTTCGATTTACTTTTTCTGGAGTTTTCGAAAGAACCGTCCGATTTTTTGCCAGAATTTTCTTCACGAGAATTTTCTTCATTGCTTGCCGAATTGCTATAACTAGATGCACTTTCGGCGTTACCAGAGTTTCTGCCTTTAGATGCGTCTTTGGATTCGCCTCTGATTTGATCTCTACCTCCCATGATATGCTGTTCGTTTGAATCGTCATATTCATAGCTTTGTGAATCTCTATTTTGAAAAATATGTATTTCATTTCCATTTCCAATGATTTTACTCTCCGTTTCCTCATCACTGTCTTCTTTCTGCATTTGTCTATCGTCGTTCAATCTTAGGAAATTGACGTCTGGATTCTTATTGTCACGTATTATCGCTGCAATCAAGTTCGGTGTATGTCTATCTCTTTCTGATATTCGAAATACATTTCTTATACCAGGCAGAGATTCACCCTCTTCTTTGCTATCCTGTTCATGTTTGTGATTAGAAATAATGTTTTCTCTTAAATCGTCGTTTTCATCAGATTGAAAATCTCCACTCTGAAAACGCCGTATGTCGTTCTGTAGGAACTTAACGATCTCATTACGTGTGTCTTCATTACTGTCTTCTGTCTGCAATTTTCTATTGTCATTAATTCCTATGATGGCTGGCCTCTTGCCATCATTTGGTGTATTTCTTAGTGAAACATCTCTTGCAGGACTACTACGCTGGAATGCATTATCTTCTTTGCTCTCCTGGTCATGTTCATTAAAATTTTCAAAGTTGTCTTGAAGACGATTCAAAAAAGAATTCTCGTCATTGAAGGCTTCAAAAAGATCATTTTCGTCCTGGATGGAAGGTATACGTTCATTTCCAACCTGTGCGAAGCCTTCAGCAAAGTTCAGAAACTTTTCAAGAGTCTTGATTTCCTGTTCCGGGTCAGTGATAGCTTTGAAATTTCTAATTGTATTTACATTTGGAGTTCTCTCCACGGAGCTTGCAATGACAGTATTTGGAAATATCTGTTGTCTTTGCTGCCATGTATTAGAGGTCTGGATTTGTCGATTGGGTCTTCTTTGTTGAACAACTCTGCTTTGCTGAATAGGTTCTCTTTGTTGAATACCAAACAAACTGTCGCCCGCAAAGAGTGTTTCACTAGGAAATGAATTCAATTGTCGCTCAAGAATGCGTATGTCATTTCTAGTATTATCGGTGTCTTGATCTTCATCGTCATCATCATCATCATCATCATCATCCTCGTTTTCATTTTGGTCTATTCTCTCCCGCTGAACTTCTTCATCAAACTCAAATAAGAGTGGTTGATTCGGAGATGCCACTCTGGAATCCGCTCTACGGTGTTTTCCTTTTATATCCTTGTTCATCACGTGACTCGATTGATGAATTGGAGTTTCATTTGTCTTCATGTCTGACAATATAGAAGTTTGAGACTGAGTTGAATTTTCGGCGTTATCTGTGTTTAATACAACAACAGTATAACCTGCCGTTGTCCCATTGTTATCCTGTTTTGCTTCCCTTGTCTTACTTTTTACTATGTTTTTCAAAGCGGCGGATTTTGCAGCTGATAATGTATGGTCTGGGTCTTTTAGTTTCAAGAAAAGATTTATAAAAGATTTGGTGAAGTTTTTCTTCTTTTCCATTGGTAGCCTTTCTGTAAGTTTGTTTATGACACCAATGGTATGCCTCAGTTTCTGGTCCAGAGGTATCTTCACTTCATCCTTTTCTTCTAAGGTAGAAAGATGAGATTCCCTAGGCGTTTCGGTGTTCCCGGTGTTTTCTATTAGTGTACTGTTGTTTGTTGAAAGAGCCTTGGTAAGAGGTGTCTCTCCTATGTGTCTAGGGACAGCGTTGACGGCGGTGAGTGCTGTCGCAAAAACCACAAAGGCAAACATCATCTGTTAAATTATAGGAAAAAATATAAAGTGAGAGGATCGTTGAATTTTTTTTTTCATACTTAAACGGCCATTTTTTAAAAATAAATTGATATGTCTGTGAACAATATATGTGTATGCGTTACTGCAAATCTTTCGAAAGACTTTAAACACAGCCCCAAACGCAGATCTCGTGGAGGAAAACTTTATGAAAGGAACCCTCTGATAAAATTCATAGATGAACAATTTTAATCTTTGTGAGATTGTTGCGATTTTGTGGAGATTTTAGAGAAATTTTTGTCATAATTAAGATAAATTTATTTTTTCACTTTATTTGTCACACAATAGGCATTTTGCTCACCTTGTTTGCCCATCTTCTTTGATAATCTCTATGTTTTCTTACACAATTTTACTTCAATAGGGAAATCTCTAAAACTGTTCCCCATACTTTATACTAAATTGTTTGAATTCATTCAAATTTGTCTTCTGTTGCAAAAATTCCATCCTTATGGAATAAGTCCATTTTTGTTAGCAAAGGGTCGTTTTCCGTAAACGAAAGAATGAGGCTAATTTGCTAACCCTTCGTAGGGTGCTTTTGAAAGCATCAATTGTTACTGAGGGTCACATTTCTATTTTAAGCACCATAAACCAACAGACGGTTCAAATACTGGGTAAAATACTTCTTGTAAATATTGTTTTTCTTTTGATTATTAATTTTTTTTTATTTTAGCAATTTTTTACATCCAAAAAGACAAAAAAAGATTAAAATTATGAAATGAGAAACAAATTAGAATACAAAGTATATCATTGTTGGAATTGACAAATTCAAGGCGAAGGTGAGGAAAGTCAGGAGAAAAACCCTTGGAATATTGCTTCTTTAAAATTCTTTGTTAATGATAGTGTAAGATACTTACACTTTTTATAATTATACAGCTACATAATCAATTCTGGAAATCCTTAAGGTCTAACCTTTGTTATCACTTCGTCTTATTTTTAAAGATTTTAAAAGATCCAATAAATTACAATCCAATATGGTATTTTGTTTTATTTACTAGATTTACTTTGATCTCATCGGGAGAAAATCTAAGTAATACAATTCTGTTTGTATACTTTGTCTATATGTGTATTTTCAATGACCAATTGAATACATGAGAAATCTATATCTGTGTACCTTTATTTTCTGTTTTAATCCGAAGACTTAAATTTGTTCAATATATTCTTTCTAGACAGCTTGTTAAACAATGAGTTATTTCAATTTATTCAAATTAATGGGCGTTTATTCTTCTAAATTTTAATCGAACACAAATCTTCATCTGAGAATGGAATCTATATCTGCTCTAAAACATGACTTAAAAGGAATGTGTATATTTTTGTTTATAGGCAGTGCATAATTTGCGGTGTTGCGGAAACGTCAATTTTTATCTCTTGCTAATTAAGGTAAATGATGATTTTTAATCAATAAATCAGTTTAATTGTTTAAACAGTAATGAGACAATGATGAATGTGATCTTCTCTTAGTTTTTATGAGTGATGGTTACGTCTTAAGTAATATAAACAGTGATACATGATGTACGATTCCATTTCTGATTTCTCTTACGATTGTAGATAAATCTTAGCATGTGTTTTTAAATTTATTCCCTTCACGATTGTTATTTATGACAATGGATGAGGATGATTTTCACTTTTCTTTGATATGGTAAAAATCAGATGACAAAATTGTTAAATATAACGGCTTCTCGTTTGAAACAACTTAGGAGGCCTGCTTTTTTCTGTCTTTGATCTTTGGATTTGTCGATGCTCTAATATTTTGAACTTCCAGAGAGGAAATATAAACTAGATATCGTTTAAACTAAGTATGGTCCGTAAATATAAGGATAACATATTTTCATTTCATTTGCTTGTGTTACTTTAAGAACAGAAATTAAGACAAATTTCACACAGCATATAAATACAACCGTGAAATATTTTATAAAACATTTTATGGTTTTACAAAGATAGTGAATATAACAAGTTTTTACATCTCGTTTATTTTGTTCTATTTGAACAGAATGTATTTAGGTGAAATCATAATCCAACTTGTCCATTCTATCGATTATTCACGCATGCCTCAATGATTTTACCTGACATGGATTTAAGAAGCCCTGAATCCGAGACATAAAAAAGTATAAACATACAAAACTAAGTAAAAATCAAATGGAACCACTTCTCAAACAATATTTTCTCAGGGTTAGAAGGTTACAAGAGGGGTCCAGAGTTTATTAAAGGACTGCTTGGGGATGAATTAAAATTCTTTCTATAATATATTTTTATTCTTCAAAACTTCTCTGTATTGAGTATCAAATTGAGTCTTCAAACTTGTTCATCTTATTCGCCTCTCCCTGGCCATAAAGGGGCCAAATAGTGATTTTAAAAAATCATTATCTCATAGATTTCCCCCTAGAACTGCAAGACTTAATTCGTATAAGAAGAAGTCTGTGAGCGAATGCTTACTAGTAATACCCAATTCTGATGTGAATATACACTCTGATGTTGACATCGGATTCGAACAAAAATGAACCCCACCATTTGGCATGCCTAAACAAGGATTGTGCTAAAATTTCAAGCATCTGCGCTGAGCGGTTGCTGAGAAAACTGGGAAATTTGGTAAGGACAGATGCACGGATAAACAGGACGTCGACATCAGATTCGAACAAAAATGAATCCCACCAAAAAGCATTCCTAAACAAAGAGTGTGCTAAAATTTCAATCAACTGTGATGAGTAGTTGCTGAGAAAACTGCGACGAAATCTTGTTACGGACAGACGAACGGATAAAAAGGAAGTTGACATCTGATTTGAACAAAAATGAATCCCATCATATGACATGCCTAAACAAAGAGTGTGCTAAAATTTCAAGCATCTGCGATGAGTAGTTGCTGAGAAACCTGGGACAAAAATTTGGTACGGACAGACGCACGGATAAAGAGGAAGTTGACACAGGATTTGAACAAATATGAATCCCACCATATGGCATGCCTAAACAAAGAGTGTGCTAAAATTTCAATTCATCTGTGATGAGTAGTTGCTGAGAAAACTGCGACGAAAATTTGTTACAGACAGCTACACGGACACACAGACAGACAGCTAGACATACACACACACAAGGGCAAAACAGTATACATGTACCCCCCTCTTCTTCGCAACGGGGGTATAAATGTTAAGATTTTGTCAAATCATTACCTTTATCTTAATGTGGGTGAACATGAGAGATGTTACTTTTAGATTTATTGATCGATATCAACGATTTAAGGACATACGCAACGTAGTTTGAACTTTATTGTCTTTTTCCCTGGAGTTGAAGAGTTCCAATACTTAAAGGAACTGTGTGCTACATTTTAATGTCTATATATGCTGTTGTACACTTCTTCTAAAACACGTTTAGATAAACAAAACATCTAGAATATATGCTTAGTAATTTTTGAATATTTTTCTTTGAAGTATACGATAATTTTCATCAATTGATATCTTTTCAAAAGGTAATGCATGCTGATTTTTTGTCTATGAACATCTGATGGCACTATAATCTTAGATTAAGAATATCTTGAAAAATTATCAGTAGGTAAGGTACGTTGCGTATGTCCTTAAATGTATCATTTACAAATGTTAACCCGACTTAGTAAAAAAGCTCGATCAACGTTGAAATTACACAGATACACAGTGAACAATCAACGGAAGATAGAAAATTTTGTTAAAACAAGATCGTATGGTTGTATTTTCAAAAGCAGACATTTTTTCATATTGAAAAGATATAGTCCTGTAAACGTCATGTTTTACAACTTGAAGGATTCACTAGTGTTAATCATTCCGTTTTCGAGTTTTCGTTACAATGGTGGACTGCTAATGGTGTCAATTCACTTCAATTCGAACTGGAATAGGTGTTATTTACTCATCCTATTTTATTTTACTCAAGTTAAACAAATATATATATATTGAATGTTCAAATATTCTAAGCCACAGGTATAGAATAAAATTCGAATCGAAACGTTACATCCAACCTTATGTTTTATAAAACAAAAAAAATGCCAATTAATAGTAAAGACCAGGTAGAACCACAGGAAGCAATTGGGGGGGGGGGGGGGCAAGCACACACCAAAAAATAAAAACATCAAAACGTATTATTAAGGAGGCACAGTAATAAAGCATCTGTGTATTCTATGTTTCCTATATTATAATATATAATGGCAAAATTATTTGAAAAGGGGGGGGGGGTTTCCTGCAGGCCTGCTTTAGACAAGAAGCAAAGCATGAGTGCAGTTCATTTCATTTATACTCTTAACCTTTGATATATGCACCATGAGGATAAATATTTGAAACAATTATATGTTCAGCTAAAAATATGGGATATATATATATATATATATATATATATATATATATATATATATATATATATATATATATATATATATATATATATATATATATATATATATATATATATATATATATTCAATAAAATTATTAATTTTGAGACATATATCAAGATAATTATAAATATATATATTACCTTCCGATTTATAATCACTGTCTTTTTCAACTTCCAACTGTATCACTAACTTCGATCTCATTATCTCGCTCGTTTTATACAACTGTATAAATAGGGCAGGTATCGGAGTCAATCACAATGGATTATAATTAATAATCAATCAACTGTATACAATCTTGAAACACGTTCTGAAATCACAATGTTACAAAACATTTTTAAACTGAAACAAATATACTTATATCTGAAAAATAAAACGTGAAGCGAGGACGTAAAGTAAGGTTTGTTAGTTTATATTTTTTAAAATGTACCTTTTTTTTGTCATTAGAAGAAGTTTAAAATTTTTCTTCAAAAAAGAAAATGTTTTGAAGTTACTCAAAAATTCTAACTAAATTTTAGGTGTGTCTTTGATTTGAAGCATATTTACAATCAAGTATTATTCATCAGTATTATATAAAAAAAGAGATGATCACCTTATAATATTGACTACTCTTTATTAC